CTTCCTGAATAGGCATAAAATTATAGTCTCAAACTTGGGCAAGAAGAGTTGCCATGACTAAAGAATAAAATCTCTAGATAACACAATAAGTCCACTGATGAACAAAGACTCATTTTGACCAAGTTTAAAAATTTCAATTTTTGGTCATTCTAAGAGTAAGTATACCTTTAAGTGGTTTAAATCTTTGAACTATCAGCTGGTCTACCTAGCATTAAATTACAGATTAGAATTACTCTTTAAGGGACTTATTTCTATCCTTTATGTGCTTAACCTTATTAAAGAGGTCTGTTATATTCCATAATATTGTCTTGTGTTTTGTTATATGTGCTCCTCGCTTCTATATGTCATTCAAATCTTACTTCTTGATTAACAAGTAACAAAATCTATCTGAAAACATAATTTTAACTTATACAAATACTAGCACTCACACAATGTTAATACAAATGAAATAAAAAAAAACATAAATGAAATCAAATTTGTTCCATCCCTCTCAATGTAAATGCAGAAAAAATGTTCATGTTCCAATGAATTTTGGAATAACATAAAATGCCATTGTATTAAAGGTATTTTGTGATTACTCCCAATTGTACTTAATTTCTATACTTTTGGAAAATTACTCTACATACAAATATCATGAAAATTACTTGTATCTGGTATTTTCTCTAATTTACAAAGAATTTCTGGAAATACAGCCTACATGAATCTAGTATTCTACTTGTCTTTCATGAAATTCAACCGTATCTTGTTATTAGTCTGCAAGTAAATTCATGAAATTTAACTGTATCTTCTTATTAGTCTACAAGTAAATTCATGAAATTTAACTGTATCTTGTAGTTATTCTACAAGTAAATTCATGAAATTTAACTGTATCTTGTAGTTATTCTACAAGTAAATTCATGAAATTTAACTGTATCTTGTAGTTATTCTACAAGTAAATTCATGAAATTCAACTGTATCTTGTAGTTATTCTACAAGTAAATTCATGAAATTTAACTGTATCTTGTAGTTATTCTACAAGTAAATTCATGAAATTCAACTGTATCTTGTAGTTATTCTACAAGTAAATTCATGAAATTTAACTGTATCTTGTAGTTATTCTACAAGTAAAATCATGAAATTCAGTTGTTTTTAGGTATTACTCCTTCAGGTAATTTCATGAAACAGTAAATGTATGAGAAACATTCTATGTGGCATGCTTTGCCCAATAATTTTTTTTTTTCAGCTGACAAGCTATAAAACTAACATGACTAATCCAATCGCAAAAAATACATGATAATGGTCAAGAAAAAATGCAAATAAAGTTGTATATCCAACTCTCTATCAAAAATGCCTTTTTAAAATGTAAATTAAATGCTATTTTTATACTTTCAAATGCCACTCTAGAGAAAGAATGAATGCCAATATCAATCACAAGTAAATGAATTAATTTACATTTGCAATACCCATGCTACATTATATCATACAATCTACAATTTAAATTACAATCTACAATTCAAGTTATAATCTACAATTAAGCTTGCAAAT